GCTTGTGCAAGCAAGAGGGACAACTGCGAGTTTATGGAGCTGGCTTGCTGTCTTCGATTAGTGAGCTCAAGGTAAGAATGGCTACTGCTTGTTTGCCTCTTTTCTTTGTACCTCATTATTATTTCCACTGTTTCCCCCTGCTTTTTATGAAGTATAATTCCGTGATGTTGTAGTTTAGGTAACTATTTTCAGATTAAAGCTTTGTTGGTTCAACCAGATTCTGAAAATATTGCTCTTGTTTATACACAAGCCTCATGTCTGTGGAGTCACTTTTCTCATGCAGGCTGGCAGAATATGACCCTTCAGAATAATTAAGTTTGTTAAGTGTTAAACACTGTTCATTTGCAGATAAAACTTTCAAGATGCAATGCATTAAAATTATCTCACATAATCCTTTTTATTCATTTTATCACATGTCGTCTTCCCCCTGAATTCTTGGATGGTGATATTCCTCTGGCCCATGATAACACGCTACCAGCACTCACTCTCTGACAGCGCAAAAGTCAAGCCCTTTGATCCAAAGGTCACCTGCAAGCAAGACTGTCTCATTACAACTTTCCAGGAGGTTTACTTTGTTTCTGAAAGTTTTGAAGAAGCAAAGGAAAAGATGAGGTACAGATTCTGCCCCCCTCTCCCGCTTCTTTTCATAAAAGCAGATTTGATTCTGTATACCTCTCTGTAGCACAGTGCCAAACCCTTTTATTCTTATCACAGTTTTTAAACTATTTTTCCACAGTATTCAAATTTTGGTCAGTATTTTCTTGATCTTTCAGGTACTGGGTGAGAGATTATTAGGACTATTTTAAAGTAGTTTAGAAAAGAGGGTATTGATACTGGCTGCATATGCAGAATGTGTTTGTGCTTTATGTCTTGTTTATAACACCCTCTTTTAGTTATAACACACTTTTTATTCTTTTTTCTTTAATCCCAACAGAGAGTTTGCAAAAACCATCAAGCGCCCCTTTGGGGTGAAGTACAATCCCTACACTCAGAGTGTGCAGATCCTGAAAGACACAAAAAGCATTGCCAGCGTGGTGAACGAGCTGCGCCATGAGCTGGACATTGTCAGCGATGCCCTCAGCAAGATGGGAAAGCAGCTGGAAGTTTAACAACCTGTCAGCACTGTGGTGCAAGCCAATTCTTCCCTTCTCCCCACTGATTTCTTTCTAGGCATATAGTGTGTTGCATGCAGAACTCACTCCTTTACACATGGAAGAGTGAACGGCCCTTAAGAAAGACTGTAACAATTTTGTCTTGTTGCTCTCTGTAAATTTCCTCACATAAATGCGTTCCTCCATCTCCCTTAGGTAAAAAAAGGTCCAGAGTTTCCTTTTAGAAGCTTGTAGGGGAGTAGAGAAATTGGTAGACTGGAGAAAAAGTGTGGTCTGTGGATCAGGGCTGGGATCAGATGCTGTAGGAGGTGGCTTATGAGACAAAAAAGGTGCAATTCACCCTAGGGAGAATTAAATTTCTGACTTCAGCAGTCTATGCTACTGATTGTATAGGGCTGAAGACGACAGTGTAGAAGCTGTGGTAATTCAGTGTTTCAAAGTCTGTGCTACTAAGTTTGAAACTTGAATGATTATAATGCAGGCACCAGGACACAAATAGCTGGAGGTTCAACATGGTAAAAGGGAGGGGTCAAATTTTGCTTTCAAAGGGATTATTCTTGCCACAAAGAGTTGCAAATGTGCTGTTCCGCATGCTTCTAGTATAAGGCAGAGATACAGCTGTTGCATGAAAACCTAACTATGTTTATTTTAAGCAGTTTGCTATTGGCTAAGAGTCAGGATTTTTGTTGCTGTCCTTGATATTGCACCTGAGGGAAGACCTTTCCTTACAGAGGTACCATTTGAATTTTTCCTGATCGAATTAATTTAGCAAAAAATACAGAATACCATCCAGCATTGACTTAGCATAAAGCCTAAAACCATTTCCAGACTGCAACTTCATATTCAAAATAACTTAATTGGCTCTAAAAGAACATCAAAGTTTTAAATAACACCTAAAGGTCATAGACCAGTGTGCTTTATGTAAAAATAAATGTCCTGTTGATTGCTGAACCACTTTTTTGACCTGGACAAGCTGCACAAATTTACATTTAGTTTCTTCTTTACCTGACCACCTTCATTTCCTATCAATCAAACTATAACTGAAAGGCCCAAGCATTTCAGAGGAATTTTGTGGCTATGAAGGCAACAAATTCCCTTGTAGTGTAAAGCATGCCTGACTCTAAAGAGCGCTTTAGAAGTGTTGGGAAGCAGTGTACTGCTGAATTGTCTGCATTGCCTGTGTTGAGGGTCCCACTGTTCCAAGCACCCTGCAGAGCTGTGCAAAGCTTCTGCTGCCCCTGTCCTGGCCTGGACATGTGTGCAGGTTGTGAGATATTTGAGGGGGGTATCTGTGACGTCCAGGGTGTATTTAGCAGCACCCTAGGCACTGGGTTTTTTCATGGGTAGATCTTATGAGGAAATTTAGAAAGTGCACTGGAAGAATGGTCTGAAATCTTAAACACACTGGAGATGCTAGTCCAGGATTTTGAGAACTTGAAAGGACTTTCATGAAACCTCTGTGCTTGAAAATTAGATTGAGTTCCATATGCTTTCTAGTAGGATACCTCTGCTCCATAAGCAATTGCCAGGCCAACCTCTCGAAGAATACTCACTGTTTAAATCAAGGCTAGATAGTTTTTTATGTGGCTATTAACCCACTATAACTTTGTTTTGAAGAGCATCTAATATGTAGAATTATGGTCTACAACATTAATGGCTTGCATTATACTTAATTTAAAAATAGATTTTAGGAACTTTGTCTTTCTAAAGAAGAAACCTTCTTCTAAGTGATTAGTAAGGGATGATTTGTTTTGTCTACTTCTGTGATAACAGTTAATATTCAGCTACAGTTTTAACAATATTGGATTTATGATGTTATCGAAATATACATAGTCTGCCCTACTTCAAGCCTTGTCTGAACTATGTATACATATCTTAAACTTGTTAAATTAGCACTTACTTTCAAGTACTTTGTAAAAACAGCAGTTGTATCTTTATTTGCATTTGTGTAGCAAAAGAAAAAGTAAACTGCTAGAAGTAACACAGAGAGATTGCACCTCCACGGCACTAACAACGTGTGTTTGGCTTCACCCATCCAAACCTTCTGTAACACGGTGATAATTTAAGTACTTTAAACCATTGTGGAAGCTTAAATGTCAACGAAATAAAGGAGTTGCTGGTAATTATCAGAATCACCGAAGCCCTTTACTTCGGCAGCTTAGCAATAAACATGAGAGGAAAGCTCATGCCTGTATAAACAATTTGATGGCATAAACGTCCTTGCAATGGGTCCCAATGTCCCTGCTGGCTCTGGGCAGCGGCTTCGTGGCAGAGCCCAGGCAGCCGGCACAAACAAGGGAATGCACAGCCTGGGTTTCTGAGCTTTGGGGTAAAACAGTAAGTTCAAGGGGGAATATGTGGAATAGGCGGTTCGGGAAGGCTGTACCTTCCTAGTGCCTCAGCCAGTGGGTAAAGGAAGAGGGCAATATGTGGCCGGGAATTAGGCTAAAAGAAGGCTGTTCCTTCCGAAACCCTGAGAGAGAAAACCCCGCAGCTCTCTCCCTTTATTCGGACAAAGCTGCAGGACTCCTCTGTCTCCCTTTTTTGGACGTAAACCTCTGACATTTGTGGGTTTTCCAGGCAGACACGAAGCGCTCGCTCGCGGCTGGCCCTTCCCTGCCCGGTTCAGGCTCTGCCCGCCCGTGGTCCCGCCCCGTGCCCGCCC